AAGGATGTTTAAGCGATTTCATTTATTTTGATAATCCTCCTCCTGCACCAGTGCATTTTGCTGTCTTTGTCAAAGTGAATGACAACAATTTGGCCAACTCTCTCTGAGCTGCACTCAACAGTGACAGGCAAATTATCAGAGGCCCTGCACTCCTTATTATCAGAGGAGAAGTCATCAGGAGGACGCGTGGAGGATCCCTCTCCCCTGTCACTATTTGTCAGTGGGACAAGGGCCACTGCTATGGGTAGCTGACAGGTAATTTCAACAATAACAATTACTCCTATTACTGGTGTCATAAACAATTCGCCCCAGGCATGACAATAGCAAAGCTTTATAATTCAATGCCATATAAATAAATGCCAGCAGGTAACAAGTAATTTAGCTCCAATCAAGCCTTGGCCCCGGCATTAATATTGTTATTGCAAGAAAATGGAAAATTGAAAAAATTCAATATGTTAATGAATTAAGGGAGGTTCAAAGGCTAAGCAAGGGAGAAGGGAATCGAGGAAAAAAGGCGCTAAAATCATTATTTTAGATTTGGCACAATACTTGTGTTTGGACAACATTCTACTGACTTTTTTTTTTAAATATAAAGGGGTAAAATGCAGTCTTGATATTTTATGTTTCAGGCAAGTTGAAAGTGTGAATGGGAACCTGATTTCCATTCTCTGCAACTCATTGCCTACATCAAAATAGTAAAAATAATTAGCTGCATTATTTTTTTCAATAAATGAAACATGTTTGAAAAGCTAATACATTTAGGTAAGATAAAAAAAGTTTCATCTACCCATCATGCTAGTTTCAGTTCCTTTTGCTTTTGGGTTCACGTTTTTTGCAAGCTCAGCTGAATTTATTCTTATTTATTAGGGATGAGAACAATAAAACCCTTCTTCTCCCTCAACATTCCTGCATTAGGTGGTATTGGCCATAGCACTTAGAATTCTTCCACAAAAATCAGAAACAGAAAATGTGATCAAACAAAAAAGAAAAAAAAGTGAGGGGGGTGGTGTGGGGGAGAGTCCAGTATCCCTAAGTACAACTTCTTGATCAGCCCAATTTGCAATTTTACTATTTGTCCAGCAAGACAATGTGCCATCAGTCTGACAGCAGTAAAAGAATTTGAAAATCTCTAATTAGAAGAGCTGCAGAGCAATTAACGCATGTCAAATTTCACTTCATCAAGTGCCACTCTAATTTTCCCACTAAAAATTAATGGACTTTTTTTGTATGTGTGTGTCCCCTCAAGGCAATGTTGATTCAAATCTGCTCAAGATGCAGTGTTGCACAGCTAAGCATCTTCTTGATTACAATCCGCCACACTTCTAACTGCTTTCATTCTCACTGCCACAGATACTTTGTCAACAGTCAAATTACGCCATGCTGATAACAATGCATAATGGTGTTCCTCAAAGGAGACTCCTGTCATGGAACAGCGTTTCATAAAAATGTACCGTTTACTTTTCCAGGAAATATATCTGTCTGAAAATGAAGTTTTTTGTGTTTTCAGCATTGGGTGTAATGTACTTTTTTCTCTCTCCCCTAAACTATAATTTATATATATTTTTGAGATTACATGAAAATACTGCAGCGAGCTGTTTGAAGAGCTATACAGAATGGAAAATATTTAGTCAGTGTTTGTGCAGGCTTTGCTTAACCACTTTGCTCCAAGACATTTGAAGAGCAATATCCTCCTACAAATGCCAGTGATTTTTTTTTTTTTAAAGAACCCTTTGGGTAAAATTTTGAAGTCTTCGCATAAGCAACACTCCTTCTGACGTCAATGGGAATTTTGCCTGAGTAAGGACTGCAGCTCTGCTCCAATGGCTATAAACATGCTGGACATTTCTCTTTTAATGGACTGTATTTAGATTCCTAGAAGAGTTTGTTTAACAGGCACAGTTGCCAGAATCCTCAAAACATCACAAGACACATAAGATAAATTACCTTTTTGTCAGAAAAGGGTATGTGTCAGGAAAGAGAGTTGGTTCATTTGTACAGTTTTTTTTAAACCCCTCATTTCCCTCCTAGTTTTGAAGATCAGTATTCTTGAGTCATTGGAACAGAAGTGTGAAAGGGAATGGAAAAATATTTACAGTGATTAAAAGTTAAATTTCTGAGGAATGAAGTCCTTCAGAAATGTTTCAGATTTTCATTTGCAGAATTAAAATATAGCTCCCTCCCCATAAACTTTAAAAAAATTGGTGTGCATAGTCCCTTAAATTGTTTGATTTATTGCTATTAATGCAGACTTGTGCCTCAATCACTTTTCTTTAAAAACAGATACGCAATTTGTATCAAGAATACTTTCTATTATTTTTAACTGTCTTTTCAGACTAACTTCATGGGACCAAGTTCTTGCTGAATGGAGTTCCGCCAGCAGAGAACATAGGTCATATGTTACCTGGTACATCATACATATCTTCTCCTTCCCCTTCTATTTTGACCTTACTGAAGTGAAGTATTTTCTCTACAGTATGGCTGTATAGTCAAAAACCTCTCTTGCATATTTAAAAATTAAAAATGTGGGAGTTTGCATTACCAACGTCTAAGTTTTCCTTTGTGGCTGTCTCATCCAATTATCAAAAAGGTACAGCAATTCCTTTAAAAACACAGGTAGAACATACATAAACCCACTGTTGAAACATTCACAGCTTGCAAAAAAGCCCTATAGATGTTCCCCAATCAAGTTTACGTACATTGTCTTCCAAAATATTATTCCACAAGCTTTAAGAATTATAAGGCTGCTTATAGATAAAACACATTCCAGGTAGCGGGTATCAAAGGCCCTTTCAGAGATCTAGAATGATCTTGTCATTAAAATAATAAGCAGGACTGTAAATTTAAAAAAAAAGAGAAAAAGAAAAATGTGATTATATAACACATCCTGCAGTAATCAATTTTACCTCCGATATCATCCTTTTGTTTTCAAAATGCTAAATAAACAATACATAATGCATCCCTCATCAGCCAAAACCATGAGGGCTCTGTGCTCAAATAACAGGAAACATATTCAATTTTCCTAACAGAAGACAGTTCATTAAGCTGTGCCACATCAAATAAAACTTTAATTTCTCCAGCATCAGAGTCGCAATGAAAGCAATTGAGGAAGATGAGCCATATGGTACTTCTATCAGCAAACACATATTGCTCATTCCCCCAAAGTTTTCTAATTCTGCTCCCCAGACCTGTGTAATATAGATAATGTGCTCTGAGAGCAGCAACCATGAGCTATCTGGTGTACACTTCTAATACTGTATTTAATGGGAAATAATGAATCATAAAAGCCTGCAGAAGACGGCTTTTGCTAACCTAAATCTCAGCTGTAATTTCATTGTTCTGTGCCTAAGATGCTGTTTGCCCTTTCCAAACAACAGCAGTTGAGCATAATTATGCGGCTTCAAACCTGGGCTGGAGGAAAAACCTTCATATTATAACCAAGTTTCTGTTAACTCTTCAAATTCTGAACTTGATGTGACTCTAATACCAAACTGAGAACTTTGGGTGATGCTTTAGAGGTCGTATAAAAAAGTATATAGAAAACCATTCCAGTGGATAACCACATAAATTAAACTTATGACTCCTAAATCTGGCCCTAAAAGCAACAAGGGATGTCAATGACAAATTAGGAAATCTGCTTGACATGGAGATATCTGACATTCATCTACCGTAGTATGTAAAAGTGCCACAACCATATAACACACTAAACAATTTTTTTAGGTATGTCTTTTTTTGTTGTTGCCAGACACAAAAGTTAGGGTTAGATCTTTGAATAAATGCCTGAAGTAACTTGTCTAAGTTTAATAATATTCTTGCTTTTCTTATGATCCATTTAACTCCATTATAAAGATAAGGTTAGCAGTTTAATAGCACTGGTGTAATATCTGCCCATGTGTTTGCTTCACCTACATGTTAGTAAACCTGGGTGTAGGTGAAGGAGTCAGTTTTTTTAAAGGATGTCTGTAGGCAAGTCTATATACATTAATATTTATACACCTCAAACGAATTAAGATTACAAAAAAATAACATGGCTTAATAATGCTTGGAGAATTTCTTAACCTCATTTGAAGTAATTTCTTTTCCCCCTCCCCATCCAAAATAAAATAAAAAATACAAGACTAATTTCAAACATTGTCTAGATACACCATTTATACATATTGAAAACATATTTTAGTGGCTGTGTTTGTTTTGGCAATATATGAACCAAAAACAATTAAATTAAAAAGAGAGACTTTTAAAAGTTAGAGATTGCCTTTTAAAAGCTTATTAAAATCAGCATGTTAGATGTCTGTCTTTGAATTAGCTTTACAGACTTGATTGCCTTCATTAAAGCTGACTGTTTGGGTGCTGCTTCATGAATGTTCAAGAGTCTGCTTTTTTTTAACTCCCCCCACAACGCTGATTCTTACTACTTGTCAACTTGTACATTCTCCTCTTGATAGCATTTTAAAGAACGTGTGCTTTTCGGAAGAAGCATTCACCTCTATGTGAAACGGTACAACAAAAACCCTGTCATTAACGCAACAAAACGACCAACAGGTAAAATAATAACTGCAAAAAACATCTAAAGGAAAAAAGAGAGACAGAGAGAGAGAAAACCTCAAAACAAACACACGCACACACTGATTATATCTCATGAATGCCTTAAAAACAAATGTTTAAACAGTTTTTTTGAAACAGTGCAGAAAACCTCTGCATGCTCCGATGGGTTACAATAACAATGGTCTATTGCAATGTAAAACAAGCTGGAGGATAAAAAGGTGCTTTTTGTTACCATTTTATCAAAGCTGTTCATCTTCTAGCTGCAGGCAGCATTTTGCTGGAATTGCAGATATTTCTCTGTCCAGGCTCCTTTGTTTGTGCATCTCATTTGCATATATTTATCTCCAGCTGAGGGTGCTTTCAGCTCATTAAGGCCTCCCCTCACATTATTTCATAAGCCAGCTGCTAGGAGGGATTTCACCTGTGGTGACTGAGAAAAGAGGGGTGAAAAACCAAATTCTTCATAAAAAGGAAATCTTCTGACTCTCTTCCCCTATAAATGGGCACCATTTGTGTTAAACAGCCTCTTGTCATGATAGATGTCTCCAGGGGTCAGGGGTTAAAGTTGATTTGAAGGTCAGCAGTAAAACAACAGACAAACCAGACGCCAAACTGGTTCCTTAGCTGTCGGTGGGAGCAGTGGTACAACCAGGTCTTGAACCTTTTTCAACCTCTAATAAAACAGGGGAAGAATCTGAAGTGGATCAACCAGGCCCCTGAGGAAGCCACACAGAAAAACACAAATAATATCAATATCAAGCAGCAACAGGAAACAATGGGCTAGCTCTCAGTGCTACATGCATGCTTCTATTGTTTCAAGAGCTAGGGAATTAATTCCACTTATTTATTTAAGGCTTGTCAACTCACTGCCTAAACCTGTTTCAGTGTCAAGATGAATAAAACTTTTATGGCTCATAAAATAGAGCCATTCATCTCAATGTTCTTTGTGGTGCCTTTTTTTTTTCTGGCCGACCGAGTTAGGCCTCTGATCAAAATGGTTACATCCGAAAATGCTGTTGCTATGATCTGTACCATATTAGAAAAGAAAATTATTTGATTGGCAAATGGAGCTCAGCAGAAACAATAAAGAAAAGCATTTTCTCAGCAATGTAATAGCCCCCCCCAAATTCTCATGGATGCTCTTTACTCATCTGAATCCACTGTCAGCAATGCCTTCATTCAAGAAAATAGAAATTTTTATTCTAACTCTATAAAGGGTGGGGGGGGAGAAACAATAAGGAATAATGCCCTGCTAAGATATTGCTTTAACAGTAGATTATCTTCTTAGCCTATTTCAGGCTAAGATCATATATTTCTTTATATCTACATATATATGATACAATACACCTTCATGTTGTACTAACCAACTAGTCTTCCACTTATGTCTCCCAAGTTTGTAGTTCTCACTTTCTATTAATGCTAATAATACCACATTTTCAATGTCATTTCCATAGTTTAACCTATGGTATTGACTCTTGTAGTTGAAGGCTAAATAAACATTCTGACCAAATTTGTATTATTGCAATCACAATCTAGTTGCAGTTTTAGTATTACTTCAACTTGCCACTTACAAATGATTTTTTAGTAATACAGGCTAGTGAAACTATATCAAACAGCAAAGCCTGAACTAACTTCCGTGCCTCACTACTAGGGGCAAAAGTTTATTTAGAATTAAAGCAGAAGGAAAAAAATCCTCAACCCCTAAAATTAAAAAATAAATAAAATCCCCAAACAGAAAACCTACTATGAAAGTGTGCCATCTCCATAGTTCTGGACTGACAGGTAACAACATACAATGAAGTGTGTTTTTATCAGAAAAAAAATCCCATTAATTATAGTTCATGACTACTTTAAACCAAATGTTCAAATACTAGCTGGAAATGATGCATAAAATCTCAGCATGTTCTGATAGGTTATAGAGTCAATGGTTTATTGCAATGTAAAACAAACTGCAGGAAGAGAAGGTGGTTTTGTTTACCATTTTCATCAAAGCTGTTCATCATCTTGATATACTTATGCTATGTTGTGACCTCCATGTATGTTGCATTTCATTTGCTTATTTATTTTCCAGAGGTTTTTGCCACGTTTGTTGCTTTGAATGTCAGAGATGTCAAGTAACTCCCAGGGATCTTTGTACTACGTCCCATCTGAACTGAATCTCTATCTATAAACTAGGCGATAGACACAAACTCAGAAATATTTATCATCAAGTAATGTTTTAAAAACCTAATCTGAGGCAATTAGTAGCTGCATAAACATAGACATCTACCTACTCTAAATGCAATTAGTTTTTTAAAAGATTCTTCTGTTTAAACCAAAGAAAGCAGAGTTCTGATGGACATGCTTTTGTGTTATACAATTTTGTTTAAATCCTTATTTCATTTTGCCCTAGAACTTTTTTTTAAATCTTCTTTAAAACTTGCAGTTTCTTTTCTTGATATCCAATATTGAAAACACCCAGAATCCAAAGTAGATATACACAACTTCAAAATCTTTAGCTATGTTTCTCATTTTCCTCTTTCTTTAATCTAATCACTAATTCCTTCACTTGGCCAAATAGTTAAAAATGTTAAGTGCTAGCAATGCCTCCTACCTCCCCCTCATATCTGTCTCTGTTTATGGAACAGGCCCTGGTTTCCTCCTTCTCTTGTTCAGCTCCAGGTCCTCAGGTCAGGAGACTGTAAATACACACAGCACTGCCCCAACCCATAAATCTGAGCAAAGGGCAGGCTTATATATTCAGATAAGCAATGTGGAAAAAAAAATAAAAGAAAAGAAAAAGAGAACAAACAGACTCTGTGGTGAAGCAGGCACTTCCCTAGAAACAAAAATTAAATGCCAACAAACCTTTAGAATAACCTCTTCGGGAGGGAGGCAGGGGAATGGGGGTGAAATCTCTAGTCACCTCTTAATATTTGCCACTAAAAATGAACCTGGAATGTTCACTCACTTTTTTTTTCATTGTTTATATACAAATCATTACAAAATGCATGTTATTGCCTTTGAGGAAACAAAATTTAATAAGTGGTTTCTATTGCTTTATAACACGCTTTTCTCTCTTCAAGACCTTGTTTAGTTGTGTTTTCTTTTTCCTTGCCATTTCATTCCCAGGACTTCAGAAGCTTTCAAGGGAACTGTCCCCCTGTTATTGCTTCTCAGTTCCAAGGTCTTAGAATAAATAACATTGTTATTAGTCACCTCACCAATTTTCAGGAAGAATTATTGCTGCAGCAAATGCGAACAGCACTAATATTTGCAAAGTGATAAATGGATTGTTACATACCTTTCGGTCTGTGTGGCCTCTAGTTATCCTAAGACCATCCTTTCTTTGGGAGGCCTCTGAACTGAGCAGGATTGAGACACTTAGTGTGCCTTGTACAAGGTTTCCCCCTTCCCCCCTCCCCACCAGATGAGTAGTAACCTTTAATGCTGAGACTAGAGGAAGATACAGCAAGAGCCACAAACAAGCCCAAAGCTGAATCAATTCAGTCTTTACAGGTTAGTTAGTTAAAGATGTGCAGATAAATTGAAACAGGAGTGAACAGACATTTACCTTTAATACAAGAAATGCAGCCACATGCCCCAAGCAGCTCAGGCCAGAAGCGGGGGGGGGGGCACTAGGGCAGGGCTCCCTGGCTGTGCATTCACTTCCTCTT